CTCTCTCTCTCTCTCCCCCCCTGCTCTGGGTGGAATATTCCCAGACGTTACAGCATTCCTGTGCAGCACACACAACAAGGTCATTGTTTACTGCAGAACAACCTGTAACACTGCCTGGCCCGCACTCCATAGAGACGCTCGCCAGCGACCCTGTTGCCATGGCAACGCCCCCTGATGTCTCCCTGCTCTCCGTTGCCGAGGCTGGAGCTGTCATAGAGTGTGCTACTCTGGGGAGGAGCGAAGGGGGGCTGAGACAGAGTTTAGGATGGACAGGTGGGAAACTCTGAGAAATGCTTGAAAAAGGTTTATAGTAGTAAAAGAAATAGACAATTTTTGTATGTTTGTCCAGGTGTGAGGGAGTAAATATTCACATGATAGCCAAGCCCGGCCAATCTCTGTGCCTTGATGGCCTGGTGCTGACAGATAGAGGAGGTTTGGTCTGCCTGATGAAAAAAAAACAGTACATGTTCCTATGAGGCAGCACTGTGGGATAACATGCTCATGATGGCTCTTTCTCTGACCAGGTCAGGCGAGGCATCCAGGGCAACAGTGAGGCTGTGGCTCCCCTTGTGCCACACAACAGCTGTACCCAATGTGGTCTTTTTTTTTTTCCAGTGGCAGAAGCTCACGTTTCCTGAGGCGCTACCAGCCAATAACCCCTCCTCCTCCCCCAGTCAGAAAATTCCAAATGGAGGCTAAAAACAACGATACGGCAACTGTGTCAACATGGACACCCTTCTCCCGGAAAACATTTTTACGGCAACAGGCAAGGGGCGAGCGCAAACACTCATGTACTTACTCACACACACACAATGCAATATCAGGTTACACAGCCCACTCCAACACTTGTCATACCTGCACGCAATAGGGAGTAGCCACACCTCTCTCTATACAGCAAATATGAGAGCAGGCTGCCCTGCCCTGGGCACACGCCACACTCATTAACTCACAGACCTCAGCTGGAGATTAGAAAGGCATTTTGGGACAGCTGCCCTTTCTTCCACATGCTTCTCATCCACTGATATCCAACAGCACTGCATTTTGTTTTGGAATCTACTCATGTCACGCGTGATAGGACTAACTTTAATTTTTGGGCTCCAGGTTATGTTGTTCTTTATCTGCTCACTCATGGTCTCACTTTGTTTTTGTTAATTAAGTAATATTATAGTCCAGAAAGCTTTGATATCTCAATACATACATCTGAAAAATATATCATATAAAGTAAAGACACATAATGAATGCAGATGTTTCCTTGCAGGACACGAGGGGTCACTAAATGGTTTGATATCGGCCTGACACGTTACTTAGAGACATATTTGTTTTTCCTTTAATTTATCCCCCATCTGTATGTGCCTACTGCCTACATAAAACTGACTTTGTTGCAAGAAAGGGTGATGTCAAGATTTCAGGTAGACTGAATCACAGCAGTTGTTACCTCAGGTGCTAGGTACTCCGGTGTTCCACAGAAAGTTTTCATGGTGGCGCCATCTTTGATCCCCTCCTTACACAGGCCAAAATCTGTGATCTTTATGTGTCCGTCTTTGTCCAGCATGAGGTTTTCCAGCTGAGGGGAAGCAGAAAGAAGACAGATGTTAAGGTCTTCGTAAAATTACTCACTGTTTAGGGAAGTAATGAGTGAATCATTCTGTTAATCTGATTCATAAATGTACAAAAATAGCATCACTGTTAGTTTCCATCAAAGTGTTAAATTACTTTGTGAAATTCTGGCAAAATAACTTCCCCATGAACTGCCTTTCTTCAAGAGGATGTGACAAGATAACATAATCAATTGAGCACCAGTAACTTTAATAACTTTTTAATTGCTGCTTACCACCCAAGGTGTCATTTCTCTTTTTTTTAATTAATGAATTGGTCATTTAATCCAAGTGTGCATTTTGGTGTCATTTGCTCCCTCATCTTGAATTAAACCAGGAACATTGTGGTAACCCTGTACACCTCAGTACTTTTTATTCTTAATTTTATAGATTTTTAGTACAGGTATGTAACGATGATAGCTATGAATGCCTTTTCTACAAAAGAATAAACTGAGTACCATGACAAAAGTTATATTCCAGAAATCTGTTTCTATCAGCCTTTTATCGCATATTCTCTTTCTCAACAAACCAACCGCAGCAAAGTATTAAAACCTTTTTTGCAAAAGTTGAAAAATTGAAAATTCCCTTAAACAAATGGAACCGTACCTAGTGATTACACATACAGGTAACTTAACCTAAAGGCCTTAAGGATGTGCATCATGCAGTGTCATGACTTGAGGTTGCATGGCCTTTTAATATCAGTGTCCTCCCTTCCTCCCTCCCTTTCTCTCTCTCTCTCAGTTAAAGTCACCTGGCAGCTGTAGCTCACACGTGGCCAGCAGCGCCCGGCCAGAGTCAGCACATCCTCCAATCCTGCTACCCTGGCATTTTCAGGAGAACCCTAGCAGGCTGGGAGCCTGCCTCATAAACCCAAGGGAGAGAGGGAGGGAAGGAGGGAGAGAGTGCTGTGCTGACCTGACTGGTTTTATCAGCTGGAAGTAGTAGGGCCACAGATGCCCACTGCAACACTGATAACCCCCCACAGCCCTCCTAAACCCAAACATGTCTGCAGCATCCATCTCTGATCTTATCTTTAGAGTATTAGAGTTTTCTTAAGCTAGTAATAAAAAAAGGAGTACTTCAAACCTTGTAGCTTCTTTATTTCACAATTATGATGGACATTTTCTCTTTATTAACTAATAGGGCTGAGCTGCCAGCATATAAAATGATGTGAATCATGCATAAAGTGCACAAATATCACCCACTGAGAACACTGTATGCATGCTATAACGGGAGGCGCTGGAGATCTATTCAAAGAGGACTGGTGGTTATTTCTGTCTAGCTGCAGTAAACGTATGGACAGAGCCTCCCTCCAGCTGCAGTGGGACTGATCTGGGGGAGGCAGATCAATAAGCCCTGGCCACTGACACGGATGGAGGCAAACCCTATTTATATCCTGCCAGGGGAGAAATGAAGGGGGGGGAAGACAGAAGAGAGACGCTGACAGCGAGGATGAGAGAAAGTGAGGATGCGTCTCCCCACCTACCTTTAGATCTCGATATACCACATTTCTTTCAGCATGCAGGTAGTCAAGCGCTGACACTATCTCTGCGCCATAGAATCGTGCCCGCTCCTCTGAGAACACGCGGTCCCTTGACAGATGGAAGAAAAGCTGAGGGGAAACAGGGGAGATTGATGGTGAGAAGGCAGAGGACAGATAAAAGAGAGTGTATTAGCCCATAGAAGACAGTAAAGGTAACATTGTTTAAGTTGAAAGGTATTCTGATTCACTGAGACCTACAGGTGCAGATTTAGAGATGGTTAAAACATTTTTTACCTCACCACCGTTTGCATACTCCATGACAAAGCACAAGCGGTCATGTGTCTGGAAGGAGTATTTCAGTCCCTGCAAACAGAGAACGAGAACGCTCAAAGCAGAACTTACTGGTGTTTCCAGCAAATTCAAGAGGAAGCTGGCATTTAGGCAGCTGATTGTAACATGAAACATTACAATGCACATTGCAGTTGCATTTTTAAAACACAAAGGTCAAATTAGAAGATCATTTAAAAAACAACATAATGTAACCAGTGTGCTAAAGTTTTTTAACTACTGTGGTAAAAACTGGTCCCATTCATTCATTGCACTGAGCACATCACATTATGTGTTGCCCCCACCCACCACTTAAAGCTAACAATTTGGAGGAGCTTTTCACTACAACCCACCTCAGACTTAGAGAGAAAGAGTTAACTGATAAAAAAAGAACGTCCAGTGTTGCTATAAAAGGCCCAACTCGACTGCAGTCTTTGTAAGAACAGCTCTTCAAAACATTCCCGGTAAAACTGCCCCTTTTTTTCTGAATGGATGCTGCTGGATTGGATTGAAGAGGCTCCCGAGGATCTCTGTTAGTTAAAATAAGGTTTGGTTTAGGTATACGAAGGGGCTCCTTACTGTCAAGAACGGATGCTTTGAATTCTGGAGGACTCTGTTCTCTGTGAGTGTGTGCGCCACTTCATCCTGGAAAAAAAAAGCCATAAAGAGTGTTTGTGCAACTCTCACAATGGCTAACCGTTTAGGTATCAGTCATGTGCTCCACTGCCCTCCCCGGTGTCTTTTCTCCCCCTTTACTTGCTCGTTGGCATCCACTCACTTTTGCTACGATCACCTCCTTCTTCAGGATCTTCATGGCGTAGTAGCGTCCTGTGGCCTTCTCCTTTACCAGGATAACTTTGCCAAAAGTGCCTTTTCCCAGGAGTTTGAGGTATTCAAAGTCGTGCATAGTCTGGAGAGCAAGAGCAGAGAAAGTGGCATCTGGTTACAAACAGAAGCATTAACAAACTCATGCTCTAACTAGCCAGGACACACAATCCCACTGACAACAACACGGAAGCATTTAAGGCACTATTTCACCCACCATGCAATTTCCACTCCTCTAATGGTTTAGCCTATATGTGGTTGTGTCTCAGTTAACCCCTGACCCTGACGCTAGAGGGAATGTTGAAAATGGTTGTGTGGGGGACATCCAATCCGGTGGCCTTAGACCTTTATGTCATGACACATGTGGGGGTTGTGAAACCTGGTGGACATGCTATCTGGTGCTAAGCCACCCACGGCTGATGTTGAGAAAGTAGAGCGTGTCTGCAGAGAGTCAAAGGAAGGTGGGTTGAAGTGGTGTAAGTGCAAATAAGGCAGATCAGGATGGAGGAGAGGGGTAATGGCAATTGTCTGGCTACCGAGATGTATCAATGTGGGGACAGCAGAGAGATACACAACAGAATGAAAATGGGCCGTACCACTTTGTGTCTGATTTTGGTCAGGTAGACCTCCATGTCCATGGGGTCCGGAGAGGAGTCCATCATCTCCTCCTCTTGTTTCTGCAGGCCTTCAGCCACTGTTTGGATGGCTTTAGTCCATTCTTCCCTGAGGGGGGCACAGGCAGCAGAAAGATTACATCAGCTCATTTACCGTCATGCAAGCCCAGCAGCCCAATCACGTAATTGTGTTCTTATCAACAGGAAGGCAATTTCAAGTGTGAGGTCTGCCAATAGCCAGTGGACCTTGTGCAAGTGCATAACAATGATTAAATGTGTATGTATGTGTGCTTCTACATGTTAGAAAAACAGAGCTCTTAAACTGTTAAACTGCTGTCTAGCAACAGGGGCAAATCTCTCTGCATGTAAATGATTTGTGTTTTACTGCTCTGTGAGCGGAGAGGTGTGTGCTTCCTTGCTTGCCTCTCCTCGGGGGTCTCCACGTGGAAGGTGCGCTCGATGACAGTGGTCCACTGCAGGCAGCGGATGATAAATGTGTTGGGCTTGGGCCGTTCTGTCTTCATCAGCTGGCACTCTGACCACAGCCAGGGAGAAAAGGAAGGGAGACGGCGGCAAGAAGGGCCAATGTGTAGGGGAGCAGAGGGGAGAGACAGACCCACAGTTATAGCCATTTATCTTTATCGCCACCCTAACAGACACTGTCGGCCAATTTGGAAAAGAACAGGTGCACTTTGGTGGAGGAAAACAACTCAGATCTTGTTAGCCACTTTAACACTAAGAATTTGCTAATATAGGTTTTGAAAATAAGCCTGTGTTGTATTAAATAAAAACCAGAACCTGTAAGAATTAATACAAATTCTAATATTTAATACAGCCCAGTTTGCAATCCTGCAATTGAATACCTGTTACTGTTTTTTCCCAAAATATGTGCTTTGATTTTTTTACCAGCAATTTCTATTTTCATTATTGATTTATTTTCCAATTATTTTCAAGGTTAATTGATTGATCTATAAAATGTCACAAAATATAAAATAAATGCCTCATATCATTTCCTAGAGCCCAAGATGACGTCTTTTGCAGACAAACAGTACTAAGATATTACATTTACAGTGATATTAAACAGCGAAAGAGAAGCTAAAACCAAAAATTCTTTGGCATGTCATGTTTGCATGGACAAGTTTTACTTATTTTCATTAAGCATTTAATAAAAAGCAAATCATCACATCCTTTCCCTCCATTCCTTAAACTGTCACACTTTCGCACCAAATAATTGTCTTGTAAGCAGTTTGGAAAACAATTACTCACAACAGTATAATAACTGAATTTAAAAAAAGATTTCCATCTGCACCTCCTTCACATTAACATCTGTTCCCAAATGAAACATGTCAGCAAATATGTCAGAACGTGACACAAAATGGCCTCTGTCTGATAGATGGAGGACAGGGGAGTGGACCACCACTGAGATCCAACATGGCTCCATCAGGGTGAATATGTAATCCAGCTGCAGCAACCCCGTCAGCAGCGTCGCACCATGTGTCCTCTGCGGTGGGGTCGCAGTGGTGACAAAAACCAAAGCCACTGCTGATGGAGATAGAGCCTCAGAGCGGAGCCCAGATAAATACTTGAAATCAGGCGGCTAATGGCCACGATAACTCAAGAGTGTCGGAGAGGAAACATTTTGTTAAACAAACAGTATGCTGTCTAATTGCTGTGTTCAGTCATCTGCACAGCTTATCACAGCAACTTTCTCTGATGTGAAGATGGAGTGGGCTGAGCTGCTCCGGGCATTTTTTTGTTGTTGTTATTTTCTGTCACAGTATAAAAACAGAGAGTTTTGGGGAAGACACATACAGAGAAGAGGAATGACATCCGATGTATTAATGTCAGAGCCAGACATCTTGCATGCACGTTCAGTGGCAGAGCTTGCTTTGCCTTGGAGCGGTGCCCCTATTGAAAGAAGCTTGCAGTGATGCTGTTGAGATGATACTACTGCCAATTTGTTAATGTTTCTCTCCATAATCATTTAAAGTGACATACAATGATGAAGGGATCCTTGGTCGTAATATTAGAGAGGACTCACTTTCATACTTTTACCTCATAGGCACTTGTGCATGATTTTTATAAAGTTTTTTTCCCTGTTAATTACTTTTCAGGGTGGATAGAGAGGCGAGATAGATGTAAAACCAAAACAAGTATGGGAACATATTTGTTACAACAATGCAAGTAAAAACAAGAAAGCAGCAAACAAAACAAAAAGGGTCAAACAAGCTGCCAAGAAACAGAGGGGAAAAAATGCAGTGGTTTGTCTGAAGCAGATACTCACGTGCGACAGAGAAGTTATTTAAGGGGGTTTCCAGCTGGTCAACATCTTGCGGTCGCTCTTTGTAGCCAATGAATGTACCATCACTCTTCAGGAGAAAATACCTTGGCCTCCAGGTCTTGATGTATTCTCCTGATATGAGAAAGAGATTGAAAAGGATTGCTGAGACTAAATAAAAGCAACTTGTGACAAAGTAATAGAGATTTTCAGGGTTTCTGCTCAGGCACAAACCTTAATTGAGAAGTTTCACCTGGTTTCACATTCTCAAAATGCTGACCAATGCACAAGCATTTTGTTTACATTGTAGTTTCATGATTAATGACGAAACAGTGTTGTCCTTTCTCTTTCTGTTTTAATTCCCAGCGGTGCAATCCATTTCCTGCAATCTAATTACTATGCGGTTCACTTGTGCTCCCTAAAATGACCATCTTGTCACGTCTTTCCTTAAGTGTAGGTCAGCTGCAAGACAAATGGTGGTTTTAGTAGGAGTCAGGACCCTTCCCCCCCCCCCCGACCCGTCTGTCCCCTTTCCAGCAGTCACTTGCAGTGTAGACTCCCAGGGAACATTCGAAGTGTCCAAAATGTTCCTCCTACCATTTCCTTGAACTGGTGAGTCAAAATGTAGCACTAAGTTGACGAATGCATCCAGAAGGGAAAGAAAAGTTTTGTTCAAAAGAGTTATCAGTCTAGATCAGTCAGACAATAAACTTAGTTAATATTCTGTATGCTTAATGAGTAAGAACACTGTTAAGATCAGATCAAAATCAATGCAGCAGTCTTTTTTACATCACGCATTCTTCTTCCTTGACAAAACCT